CTGAAGAGGCCGATCGTGAGTAGGTGCCAAAAGACGAGCTGCAGGTAGATGCGCTGTCACACCCGTGAGCACCATTAGCAGTGCCAGGAGCCAGGCTCGCGAGCCGCAGCCTTGGCCCGAGCCGCGGCCGCCTTGGCACGTGCGATGGTGTCAGAGCGCGCCTTCGCGATCCGCTTCTCCTTGTCGGTCGGCTCAGCAGGGGTGGCAGCAGCGATGGGCACAGCCTTCGCCTCCTCAGCCGCAGGCACCTGAGATGAAGCTGCACCCTGGCTACCAGCGACTGGAGGAGCCGCAACGCCAACCGACCCATCCGTAGTCTTGCGCTTCTTACACAGCTCACCCATGCGCTTCTGGTACTCCTGCTGATGGTCCTTGTATTGGGACGTAACGCTCTTGAGCGCTTCATGCAAGAGGGTCTTGACCTGTTGCGACTGCTCGAGCTTGAACTTTTCAAAACCCTCGCGGTCCTCAGCCGAGAAGGCAGGCCCCGAGACGTCCAACTCCTCCCCAAAATCGACCTTGATCTCCTCAGCGGAGTCCTTGAAGATGTCATCGAGAGATATGACATTCTTGACGGGAGTAGGCTCAACATCCTTAATTACTCCGACGGCCAGCGTACGAGTGGCTTGCTCAAGAATATCAGCGTTCTCCATGTCCTTGGCCATGAGCTCGTCCAGGAGCTTGTCAAGGTCGCTGGCCTCCTTGTCGAGTACCGCACGGCGGGCCAGGGCCTCGTCGAGCTTCTCCTGGGAAGCCTTCTTGGCCTGCGAGGCACGCTGCCGCTCGGCCTGAGGCGTCGCCTGGGGCTTCGGCGGCGGCTTGGGCACGAACTGGGAGAGCAACTTCTGGGCCATTTCAGGCGCAAGGTGCGAGGCAGCTTCCTTGACAGCCGCAAGAGCTCGAGGAGGGATGGCTTCAGAGGGCCCATTCTGCAGCTGCAGCGCCTGAGTACCTTTGCGCCAGCGCCCCTTGGACTTGCCACCACCATCACCCCATCCTGACTCTTCAGCGCCTGTGTACAACAGCATCTGGCCGCCGACGCCAGAGGGGCTGGGAGGGTGACGCTGGGACTGGCATCCGACACAGAAGTTGCGCCGCTTGGCCAGGAGGTCATTCCACGTCCAATGGCCACAAGCGCACACAGTGTACAAGCGAGCACCACGAATATGCCCAGCCTTGGCACCCCCAGGCGGCACTCGGACCCAGGGCTGCCTCGTCCAAGTATCTTCCGCATCGTCGGGGATATGCCATGGGCCGGGGACCATCGCGGCGTCGTAGCAACTGGCTCCGTGAGGAGCGCACGAGAAATGGGCTGCCAGAGGCCCGTGCAGTACTGGCAAAAGCTGTCAGGCGCAAGGCCTTGGCACTGCCGCGGACTAGCGGTATCCACTTGTTCCACTGGGGAACTCAAAACCTTGAGCCAAAATGGCTACGGCCAGGAGGAGAAGGAGGAGGAGGGGGAGGAGGAGGAGGAGGAGGAGGAGGAGGAGGAGGAGGAGGAGGAGGAGGAGGAGGAGGAGGAGGAGGAGGAGGAGGGGGAGGGGGAGGGGGAGGAGGAGGAGGGGGAGGGGAAGTTCCCAGGCCTTCTGAGAAGCTTCCCGAGGCACAGAGAACCTCCCAGAAGGTCGGAGGGCCTCTGAGAAGCCCCGCCGATCTCCGAGGGGGCATTCTCCTTCTCACTCCCCCCCCTCGCTCGCCAACGAGTGCTCTTGCCATGAGTGCCGCCACATTCGGGTCGGGCGAAAGGGGGGGATAGCAAAGGGGGGGTTTGAGAATCAGCTCACGTAGCTGATTTTCCCGGCGCCTCCCGGCGCCGGAGGCGACGATGTATCGAGGAATGGGCCCCTCGGTGGGGCCGAAACCAGCTGCATGCAGCAAATATCGTAACCCCCCCTTTCCCAATCCCCCCCTTCCGTCCGGCCCGACACATCCTCCGCCCGCGACGGACGCACTTCACCAAGTCCCCAGGGATGTCGGTCCTTTCCCGGCTACAGTGTGGACACGGCCGCAAGAAAGCCTCGCGGTAAACCCAGCCCTGAAAACCCAGATTGCACACGGCATCTTCAACGGCCGCTGGAAGTCACCTCGCATCGCGCAGGGCGAAGAAACCGAGAGTACCCTGACGAGAATCATATGGTTTCTTGATGCGGTCCCCTTTGCAATCATCCTGTGTAGAAGCCTGGACCCGAAACTCCTGAAGAGGCAGACAATCTGGGGGAAACGTCGCCGCCGCGCCGCTTCTGCGATGCCCCAGGCCCCGCCACGCGGGCCTGGCCCGAACCCGCACAAATCCGGGTCCCAGACTTCTCCCTGGGTTCCATCCATCTTGGCCTTTCGTTCTTCCCATGGTACTTCGGGACTGCATCCCAGAAGTCATTTCGAGCACCCAGAAAAATATCGGAACAGTGTTTGCCCGACACGCTGGCGAAGTGTCGAACGAATGTCGCCTCCCAGGGCCCGACACATGAAATCCCTTCAGTTTCGGTATTTTCTTGGCGCTCGGAACTCTTTCTGGTGAGCAAGGCTCAAGAAAGTGGGAACACCATGCCCGTCGGTCGGAAGAAGTAGGTAGACACATGAGGTAGGAAGGCGGACAAAGTGGATTGGGCCCAGGCCCTCCCAGAGAATAACAAACACACAGCAAAAGCGTGCCGATTCTTGAAGTGGGAAGGCGCTTGAAGCAGGTTGGGATCTGGGAATCCAAAAATACATACTTCCAGCGACCGGCGTGTCACCCTGGCCCCTCCTTCGCCCCGGACCGCTGCTTCACAGCCCAGGGGCCCGACACAGGGCCTCCGGAGAGCGCGCGCGGGAAGAAGGCCTGTGTGCATCGGGGGCGCGCAGACATGACGATCGAACAACACGCACCCATACCCATAGGGGGGACGGAGGAGGCTATGGGTGCGTGTTGTCGGATGGGGGTCCCCGCTCGAACGGGAGCTTCCCCAAGGGTCCGACAACTCGCACCCATACCCATAGCCAGTTCCCCTCCTTTCGACCCTCCTATGGGTATGGGTGTGAGTTGTTCGCTCGTCAAACCATGGCTCAGCGATCCATTCGGGTCGGGCGGAAGGGGGGGATAGCAAAGGGGGTGTGTGTGAGAATCAGCTGCTGATTGTCCCGGAGGCGACTACGTATCGAGGAAAGGGTCCCTCGGTGGGGCCGGAACCAGCTGCAGGCAGCAAATTCAATGACCCCCCCTTTCCCAATCCCCCCCTTTCGTCCGGCCCGATCCATGGACTTGGCGCCCGGTCGCCAAATCCATGGGCGCCTTTCCCAAAATGCGGCCGGTGCCGGCCTCGTTCGGCGGCGGGAATCCGCGAAGTTCTCATGGAAACGGGGCCCGTCGCTAATCCACGCCCCCCTTGATCCATGTGTGCGGTCGCCTGATCGAAGCTGCTCGAGCCTCGACCCCCCCGTCGCCCGTGGCGCCGCCCCCGGCTCTCAGATGCTCGTTCGGGGGCCCGGACGTGCGTCGATGCTGCGTCGGACGTCCATCGACTCTGGGCCGGTCCAGGGTCGAGCTCGAGCCGAACCAGACGCAAATTGGAGTCGAGCAGATCTGGTACAGTCGAGGCGTTGACCTAAGGAACCCTGAAAAAGGAACGAGGCCCCTCTTTTCCATAAGTTAACTTCGATTTCCCATAAAAACCTAAGGGGAACCCAAGGCAAACTGTCAAACAATCAAGGAACACCGAGCCCCTCCCCAACGAAAACCGTGCCTTCTTCAGGGCCCCGACTGTAGGTGGGCCCCAAGAGGGTGCTCTGAACGAACATCCAATTCGGCGGCGCAGTGGGGTGGGAAGGGGGGGGAAAGTAAATGGGGGCAGGCCTTCTCAAAGGCGGCGGGGCTTCTCAGAAGCCCTGTGGCCTCACGAGAGGCTCTATGTGACTTCGGCGCAGGCTTAGGAAACTTTTCAAGACCCGCCCCTTTGTAGGAAACATAATTATTCGGATAACCACGGTGTGTGTGTGTGTGTGTGTGTGTGTGTGTGTGTGTGTGTGGGGCCCTGTTTGTCATCAAGTGCGATCGGGGAAATCTGTGCAACCGCTTGGCTTGATTCGGAATGCTTCTTGTTTCAGGGAGGTGCTGCACAGTACTTGCCTGGGGCAGAATGCGATCTTGGACAATGCGTGCCGAGTCCCATCTGGGGCCACTCCTGCGCTAAAGCGGGAGACCCGATTATCAGAGCTTAATTTACCAGCCTCGAACGTATCCCTATCCCTGAGATTGACGCGCCAAAAGGCGATGACAATCTTAGGGATTCGCCTCAAAAAAAGGGAATCCCTAAGATCGGCATCGTGATGAGGAGATGCCCAGCATAGGGATAGGGATATGCTCCAGGCTGGTAAGATGATCAGAACTCATTTCCCTACCCACCCCCTGCCCTGACTTCTCGGGGCTCCAGCTCTCTGCCCCCCCCCCCTGGGCGCGCCGCGGACCAGGGCTCGCCCTGAACCGTGTGTGCTCGGCGAGTTGTTCGGTGGGCCGTTCTCGCTTGGGTCTCATGCCGCAGCACGGGGAGGACGACAACGGAGCGAAGGCACACGAACCGAGAGAACGAACGACGTGGAAAACGAGACAGTGGGCTGGTGGGATTTTGTACACACCGTCGACAAACACAGCCGAGAGAACGAACGGGGAGAACGAACGTCGACAAACACAACCGAGAGAACGCACGCGGAACACCTCCGCGGGCCGGCGGGTTGGCTCACAGTGGGCGGCGTTCCCGCGCCGTCTGTGGGCGAGTGGAGCAGTTGGCGCCGCCAGGCTGGCCCACACCGGAATCCCCCGTTTGCGTTGACCCCCGACGACGACGACGACGACGACGACGACGACGACGACGACGACGACGACGGCGGCGACGGCGACGACGACGACGACGACGGCGACGGCGGCGACGACGACGACGAAGGAAAACGAAGGCAAACGAAAACGAAAACGAACGCGGAGCACACCGCCCGGGCCGAGCCCTGCCGCGGGCTGCCGAGGCGAGCGCTCGACCAGCTTGTAGGGCACCGTCTCGTAGTCGTCCGTGGCGCACTGGAGCCAGACCGGCCTCGAGGCCTGGCGGTTCGGCCCGGGTGGGGCGTCCGTCCCTGCCGCGATCTCCAAGGGGGGGGCGCCCGATGGAGGAGTGGGGGGGAGATCGCTCCTCCGCCTCTCGGGCGCCCCTCCTCGCAGCCCCTCGGTTGCCAGCCCCGGTGGGGAGGAGCGACCGAGGGAGGAGTGAGGAGTGGGGAGGGAGGACTGGCCGGGTGAGGAAGTCTTAGGCGAGACGCCTCGCCCGGCCTGCGGACACGTCTCGGTGTGCGGCGGGGGGGGGGGTGATTGGCAAGGAAGAGGGTGGAGGAGGAAGAGCAGGAGGACAACGAGGACGACGACCACCAAGGACCCCCATGGGCCTGCGGCCTGTCGGCGAGGAGCCGCTGCAGCGCCTCGGCGGCGCCCGAGAAGCCCAGCGACTCGTCGGGGAACAAGCCGACGGACCCCACGAAGCCTGCGAGGGGCAGCGCCGTGGCCGACGCCCCCCTCCTCCTCCTCCTCCTCCTCCTCCTCCTCCTCCTCCTCCTCCTCCTCCTCCTCCTCCTCCCCCGTCTCCCTTCCCGCTGGGGGCGAGGCATCGTGCAGAGGACCCCAGCGCTGAGCTCCCCGACACCGGCATGTCCTGGCCATCGCTCGGACGTCCATTCCCCGGGTTTTTTCCTTTTGGTTTCGCGCGTGGTCTTGTTTCGCCGAGCGATCCAGGATGCTCCTCGATGGCCCTCGCCGACGGAGACATACGCATGTCCGAGCGATGCCGAGCTCCGGCTGCTGCCCCCCCCTTTCCCCGCGCTCCCTCCCCCGGAGTGTCGGCGCGGGAGGCGCGCTCCACCCTTCCCCGCGCTCCCTCCCCCTCCCCCCGCGCCGGGGGGCGCCCCCCTCACGCTCCCTCCCCCCCTCCCCTTTCCCCGCGCTCCCTCCCCCCCCCCCGCGCCGGGAGGCGCCCTCCCCGGCGGGCGGCGCGGGAGCGTCTGGCCAGGGCCTATAACTGCAGGGGCGCGCGGGCGACGCCTGCGCACGGACTGCGCCGCGGGCGCCGGCGCCCGCGCAGGCGGCTCGCCGCTGCGCGGCTGGCGCGCGCCGCCACTCTCTCCGCGGGCGGGGGGGTGCTCCGCGCGGGCTGGCGGCGGCGGAGCACACATCTCTTCGCGGGCGGGGGGGGTGCTCCGCGCAGGCCGGCGGCGGCGGAGCACACACCTCCTCGCGGGCGGCGGGGGTGCTTCGCGCAGGCCGGCGGCAGCAGAGCACGGGGCCGAAGCGGTCTTCGAAGCGAAAACGGCCCACGACATCGCCAGAGCACCAAGTTTAGGTTCGCCCCTGGCAGAGGACAAACCCTCGTGGTGTACGGGCCGCTGCCGCGGCCACGGGATGAGCAGTCGATCTTCAGAGGGGAGCTGCACGCAGTAGGAGTGGCTGTGCCAGCAGGAACGGTGCCGCTTACGGGTTGGTCTGAAGGCGAAAGTGTAATTAGTGCACGGCTTCGCTCGCGGTCTTGCATTGCAAACGCGCTGTTCGAACCCCCGTGCCAATCAGTGGAAATGAGCCTGGCACTTTGTCTTGGAGTTAGGCGGACTCGGCCCACAGGCAAACCAATTCAAACAAATAAAAATGCGTGCCACGGTAGTCGAACGCAGGCCACAAGTATGACGCACTTTCAGGGCAATAGGACCGCGGACAAAGGTGCACAACTAGGAGCAGCCTCGCTAGCATACCCAGGAGGACACGTAGAACATCATCTGCGCACGAATTCGCGAGTCCAGCGCACCTTGAAATTCAATGCGAATGTCCGAGTCCTGTTATCAGCGGTAGTTGGCACGGTCAAGCACGGGCTGCTGCAAGTGCCGAGTACTACTGGGCAGGGTACAGGGCAGTTTTTAAGACATATGACTCTTTGAATATAGGATTAACAGATATGATTCATGTATGAATAAATTTATGCATGAACTCATCGTTGTTTTTAATACTAGATCCTTGCATTTTCAATACATGATCCGCACGCGGAGCATGTATTAAAAACAGCACTCTTCTGGGGTCGTGGAGCGTCGTGGGGGGATCGGGGAAGCGGAAAGGGCCTCCGACGAAGCCGGACGCCCCTCGGCCAGGCCGGGAGGGCCACCTCGGGGCCCAGACTCGGCTCTCAGGGCAAGGAGCTGGCACGGAGAAGCGGGCACCGCAGAGCGTTTACCTGCTACGTCCAGCAGCGTTGGCAAGGTCCCAGCAGGACCAAGGGCAGGAGCCACCGCGCTGCCGCACAGGGCGGGCCGAACCGTCGGCGCACGGGCCAGCACCCGACCACGGGGAGGCCTCTGGGCGAGGGCCCCTGGGCCACGACAGGCCATCTTGCACGGCGGAGGCAGGACCCGAAGTGTCATGTTTGTCCTGCTTATTCCCCGTTCCCTCTTCTTCTTCTTCTTGAGCAGGGACCGACGTTCCCGGCATTCCTATAGTCCTACCACGAAATGTTCTTAGCACCCCAAACTGTTCTTAGAACAAAACCAATGTTCTTAGAACATGTTCCCGATGTGCTCGAACAAGACAGTCCCAACCAGAAATGTCCCAAGAACATCACGGGCCCGGGCGCTTCGCCACTGCTTGATCTTCCCCTCCCCCCCCTCCCCGCCTGCTCTGCCCCCGCCTTTCCCGCCCCCTCTTGGGCGCCCGAGTTATCCGGGGAAACTCGGGTCCGGGGTAACTCGGGTTTGGATTCCCGAAAAAGGAACCCGAGTTAGCCCTGACCCGAGTTACCACTGATGATGTGGGGTTCTGGACGCCCGAGTTATCGGGAGCAGCTCGGGTCCGGGGTAAGTCGGGTTCGGATTCCCGAAAAACTAACCCGAGTCAGCCCTGACCCGAGTTACCACCTGATGATTCGGGGCTCTGACCCTCCCTGGCTGCTGCCCCCCCCCCCACCACCCGCCCCGCGCTACCCTCCCCCGCGGGCGGCGCGGGGCGTCGCCTCCGAGCCGCAGCCGGGGCGCCTCCCCTGAGGTAGGTGTCCAGGGGCGGCGGAGCAGCCTGCCCGACACCGGAGGGCAACGTTGGGGGGGGGGGGGGGGGGGGGCCGTTCAAGGGGGGTGGGGGGGGGCAGGTTCAAGGGGGGGGGGGGGGGAAGAACGTCGAGCTCGAATCGGCGGCGACGCATCGCCGATGGGTCGGCGATAGGCCCCCCGATAGCGAATCCGCGCGTTCCTTGGCGTGGGGGGGCTACCAGGCCCCTATCGCTGATGGCTGGGCGCCTGGGGGCCGAGGCGTCCGCCCTGAGCGTACTTATCCCCTTCGAGCGTTGCCTTCCCGGAACCACCGGGGCAGGGAGGGAGCCCAGCGCAGAAGAGGGATGGAGGAGGAGGATGAGGAGGATGAGGAGGAGGAGGAGGAAGAGGAGGAGGAGTTCCGCTTTTCTTCCAGCGCCTGCTCGGAGCAAAGGGATCTCACAGTGAGCGGGAGCGACAAGTGCACTGGCCAAATGGTGAGGCGGTCGTCCACAACAGGCTGCCGGCCGACCTGGTGTGAATCAGTGAAGCGTCGTGCCGACGGCAGCAACAGCGACCACGACGAGGGGGGGCCGGAGCGAGAGGAGACCGACAGGACAAGCGAGGAAGCGAAGAGTAAGTTGAAGAGGAAAAGGAGTCAACACAACACCCCTCTGGCGCAGAGATCTGACGACGTACTGCTGGCACTTTGAGTGGGAAGGCCAACTTCTGCGGGTTTCCGTTGGCGTTTATCGTGCATCTGGGCGCAACTGAGGACCAATATAATCTTCGCTGCTTTTCCTACGTTGCTTATCGCAACATGTGCTCCGGATTCCATAACAAAGTGGGGGGGTCACATTCGTGGGGGGGGTCTGATTTGAGCCGTCTTGGAGGGTTCGGGGGGGTCTTGGCAAAGGGCCGCCCTTTGATGGATAGTCTGGGGGGTCTAAAACTTCTCGTCTGGGAGGGTTGTGAAACCCCTCCCTTTTATTACGAAATCTGGGTAGTTTTCCCACAGGGGCAGACCGTAGAAGAGAGACGGCACCCTCTTTTTGCAGAACTCCAGGTGCAGCAGCTGGGGTCTCCGTTTCTGTCGATAAAGTACTTAGCGAACTGCGATGGTGGAAAGTCTATATGCGCACAGGCTGAGCTCCTACTGTGTCGTGAACGCCACAGGCGATCTGGCCGCCGTTGGACTCCGTCTATGAAGCCCTCGTCATCAGTGTGTCTCCTCCTCCAGGGGGGAGGAGGATGCAAAGAAGACTCTTGTGTTCATGCCCAGGAGGTGGGGGTGAACGAACAAGATGCATCGAGAAGGCGAGGCGAGGCGGGAGGAGGAGGAGGAGGAGGAGGCGGAGGCGGAGGAGGAGGAGGAGGAGGAGGAGGAGGAGGACGACGACGAGGACGAGGCGGGGGGCGGTGCGATTCTGTAAATCGCTCGGCCCCTGGGGCTTCCCGCGTGCCCCCTGGAATCCCCCTCACCTTGTCGCGCGACCTGCTCGGGCCCAGGAGAGTCCCCCGAGGCATGCCAAGAGAGCCTCGCTGGGACAGAATGTCAACACGCAGCGCGTACGACGCACCGCATCCATACTGCGGGAGCGTCTGACTTACGAATGAGGTTCAACATGCAACAACTGGCTCGTCATCGACAGTGCACTTTGGACTGCTGCCAGTTCGGGGCCCCGCGGCGGAAAAAGGACCACCGTGGCCGCCTGGGGCGCTGTTGATCTCTCCGGTTTGGCCCGGAGAGCCCTGGGTGCCTGGGGTTGTGCTCGCGTCGGAGGTTGATAGTGACTACCTACCAGACCACCCCAACCCAACCCGAAGGCCCGAATTTGACCCGAATTTCGGGTTGGGGGGGGGTACGGATTCCATGTGCTTTTTCGATGTTCCCCGACCCCCCCACTGGAAATCGAGGACAAATTTGGGCCTTCGGGTTGGGATGGGGTGGTTTGGTGGGTGGTGAGATAGACCTCCTACCCTGACACGTCGATTAGCGAATTGGCCGTTTTCGGTTCGCGAGAGGGCGTCGCGGCCGTCATTTTTGCGGGTCCATGTCCGTCGGTTTCGGTCCTAGGCCGTTTTCACTGAATGGAGGTATACTAAAAGGAGGTTTGTCCACCGCCGATCGCGGTCAGGCAGACCTCGCGTAATCCTGGCGGGGCACGCCCAGTGCGCCCACCTCACACCACAAGCCGCCGCTCAGCCTCTGCGTTTCCGTCGTGGAATTGCGGAGCTTGTCTGCCATTCTGTGCAAGTGCAGCCGCACATGTATACTGCGAGTGAAGTGATGAAGTGGAAGGCCTGCATCTGTGTGGCGGGCTATTTTTGGGAGGCCCAACGGCCAGTTTTAATCTTCCGTGATCTGGGGATTCTGTGCATCGTTCCCGCTTTGCTTCAGCTGTCGCTCGGCAGTCGAGGCGGGGGCCCCTTTCTGGTGCCCTGCTGTTCGACTGGCTTGGACTCCCGCAAAAAAGGTCCTCCTGAAAACGTGTTGCTCTATTCCTTCTGGCCCTGGCACGGCGGCTCAGAGCTGGCCCTCTGGATAAAGTTTGCGTAGTCGATGCGAAAAGGGGCCGCGTATCACCACTGTCCGCTGACGTGCCGGCTCAAGAAATGCGCCCCCCCCTACGTGCCACTCCTTTCGAAGTTTCGATGTGCTTTTGACGCTTCCTCAAACGGATCTCGTGCACCATTCCCAATCAATTTCAGCTTTCGCTTGACAGCCTGGGCGGGGCCCCTTCCTGGTGCCGTGTTGTCAGCCTGGCTCCGACACACAGCACTTACAGGTCCTGCTGAACAAGTGTTGCTCTATTCCTCTGGGCTGCCGCCCCATTCCGTCGGCCCCTCGTCATTCTATTTTCTGGCAGGGCCGTTCAGAGCTGGCCCTCGTGAGCGGAGACGGGGGATTTGATTTGTTTGTTAGTTTATGCGTTTGTGTGTATAACATATATGTGTATATCTATATATACATGTATATATTTGTATGTATGTACATATGTATATGTGTATATATATAGAGAGAGAGAGAGAGAGAGAGAGAGAGAGAGAAAGATAAATACCGCCCCCCCCCCGGCCCCAGGTGCCACACCTCCCCGCCACACCTCGGGCACGCTCCCGGTACCGCTTCCCCGGGCGTCCCAGGGAGCCTCCACAGCGCTCCAGGAGAGCCCAAGACGACTACCAGGAGCGCCAAGAATGCGAAAGGATGGTCCAAGACGCTCCCAAGCAGTCACGGCTCTCGAAGCTCCCAAGTAAACTCCAAGAGACCCCAAGAGAGGTCCGAGAGGCGTCCTGGGACGCCCCGAAGAAGCCAACATCGCAGATTTTCATTATTCTGTTCAACGTTCCCTACCTAGGCTCTGCCTAGAAAGGTTCTTACTGTGTATGCTCAAAGGGGCCGGGCAGTGCAAATCGCCCTGGGCGGTTCCCCCAGGATCCGCCCCGCGGTTCCCCCAGTTACGTCCCTTTAGCTTAGCGTTGCTTGTCTCATCTTAGCTTAGCTTATTTCATCTTAGCTTAGCTTAGCTTCATCTTAGCTCAGGTGTATCTTAGCTCAGCTTACCTTCATCTTAGCTTCGCTGAGCTTTAGCATAGCAGAGCACAGCATAGCGTAGCATAGCATAGCGCAGCATAGCATATCAGGGGTTAGCTTAGCTTAGCTTAGCGCATAGCCTCTGCATAGAGGGTTAGCTTAGCTTAGCTTAACTTACCTTAATTTAGCATAGCGCAGCGCTGCATTAACATAGCATAGCATATCATAACATAAACCGATTATATCATAGCATAGCATAGCACATCATAGCGCAGCATATCATAGCATATCATAACATCGCGCAGCTTAGCAGAGCATAGCATAGCATAGCTTAGCATAACACAGCGCAACATTACATAGCATAGCTTAGCTTAGCTTAGCATAGCGCAGCATTGCATAGCATAGCATAACATAGCGCAGCATAGCATGGCATGGCATAGCATAGCAACTAATGCTGCTTTCCTAGGGGCTCCAACTTCTAGGTAGGGCCGCACTGGGGTAATTTTTGGCTTCTCGCGCTTTCGAGCCCATGTCACGTCATCACCTCCGTAGAACGTCTCCCAAGCTACTCATGCCCCGCATTGCGCAGGGGTTGGGTACGTCGCCAGGGTAATTTATTTTTCGTCGAACATCCCCTTGTAGAGGACGCGCCCGACATAGTCTCAGGGTCTTCGCTGCGTCGGCGCGGCGGCGTGGCGAGGGGAGCGGCACGCCCCCGCCACGGCGACGGGGGATATCCAAGGCCAAACACCCTGCAGCTGGTTTCGGGCATAGTCGATGGCTTTCGGAACACGTGCTAGCCCGAGCGTGTGTTTACCTCGTTCGGCTCCGCCGATAAGCCGCAAGCATTAAGTCGGGCCTGTCCCTCTGCAGGAGAAATATACACATAGTCCAAACATAGTCTGGGGACGAGTTTTCGATTGTGCTTGTTTATCGGTGGGGTATCTTTTGAGTACTTCTTATTCTTCGCTCCAAGTCCCTCTGTAGGAGGACACGCCCGACGTAACGAAGCAGTGCCGGCCCTCGTTGCCCCGCCTGTGTCATATTGAAGGGCCTCCGCGTACAAGCACATGCGTGCGCCAACACAACATGCGTTCTGAGGATCACGGGGCCCGCACCTGGCACTCCGCGGCGCGCAATTCCACTCGCAGGGTGTTTCGACTGCCTCTGCGGGCCTCTGAGAGAGGATATTTTGTGAGTTTGACGGGCGCGTGCTCCTCGGACATCGAAAGTCGGGAGTCTTGGGACATTTCCCCAAACAGTGTTTGCATTTGGGGGCTTCCGACTTCGTTGTCTAAGTGAACTGAGCCTGGGTGCCGGTCTGGCGGCTCGGTGGTCGCCGTCGCCGCCACGTCGCCGTCTCGTCGCCGGCCGTCGTCTGGGCCTGGATGTCGGTTTGGCGGCTCCGTCGCCGCCTCGTCGCCGCCCGTCCTCTGGGCCTGGGTGTCGGTTTAGCGCCCTCGTGGTCGCCGCCGCCGCCTCGTCGCAGCCCGTCGTCTGGGCTTGGGTGC